CTTCCCCCCCCCTTCCCTCCCCCTCCCTCCCCCTTCCCTCTCCCATCCCTCTCCCATCCCTCCTCCTTCCCACTCCCTCCCTCTCCCTTCCCTCTCCCTTCCCTCCTCCTTCCCAACCCCTTCTCTCTCCCTCCCTCTCTCTTCCCTCTCCCTTCCTGCTCCCTTCCCACTCCCTTCCCACTCCCTCCCTCTCCCTTCCCTCCTCCTTTCCACTCCCTTCGCTCTCCCTCCCTCCCTCTCCCTCCCTCCCCCTTCCCTCTCCCTCCCTCTCCTTCTCCCTTACCCTCTCTTCCCCTCTCCCTTCCCCTTCCATCCCTCTCCCCACAAACACACCACACCACGTTTTTGGGTTGTTTTTTGGTCACTTCCACATTCCCATCCATAAGTCCCCCCGGGCACTGCCGCTCGGTCCCCACAGAAGGCCCCGAGGAAGGTCCTCCAGGTGGCTGGGAAGTGTCTCCCACGCCCGGAATCCTCGGGAATGGCGCCTTTGGGCCTCAGCTCCTGCCCCGGCACGGGATGGGCTGGAAGGTGGTGGTGCTGCCCTCCAGCAGGACCAGGTCGTACCTGCACAGCTCCGCCCTGCACAGCAACAGGCACCTGAGCCTGGGGGACCTGGGCCTGTCTCTGTCACCCCCGGCAGCTCCCCCGGGAAGATGCTCTTAAAACCTCATGTTTTCAAGACAACTGGCTCGGAGCCCACGTGCAGTGAGGCTGAGTGACATAATCACAGCATCACAGCATCACAGGGGTTGGAAGGGACCTCCAAAGACCACCCAGCCCAGCCCCCCTGCCAGAGCAGGGTCACCCAGAGCACATCACACAGGAACGTGTCCAGGGGGGTTGGAATGTCTCCTCCTGTCACTGGACATCACTGCACAAAGCCTGGCTCTGTCCTCCTGACACTGCCCTGAACAGATTTGTGCCCATGGATGAGGTGGCCCCTCAGTCTCCTCTTCTCCAAGCCCAACAGACCCAGCTCCCTCAGCCTTTCCTCAGCAAGGAGATGTTCCCCTCCCTCCAGCATCTCTGTGGCTCTGCCCTGGGCTCTTCCCAGCAGTTCCCTGTCCTTCTGGAACTGAGGGGCCCAGAACTGGACACAACACTCCAGATGTGGCCTCACCAAGGCAGAACAGAGGGGAAGCAGAACCTCTTGACCTACTAACCACCCCCTTTCTAACCCACCCCAGGTGCCATTGGCCTCCTTGGCCACCAGGGCACATTGCTGGTCATGCTCATCCTCCTGCCCACCAGGCTCCCCAGGTCCCTTTCCCCTACCCTGCTCTCCAGCAGGTCAGCCCCCAACCTGTCCTAGTACCTGGGCTTGTTATTCCCCAGGTGCAAGACTCTACACTTGCCCTTGTTGAACTTCACCAGGTTTCTCCCCACCTGTGTGTTCCTGCTGTATCCCTGGTGTCACTGATCTGGTTTAGAGCTAATGCAGCTGGAAACCAGCAGGAACACGTGAACCTTCCCCAGGGGCCAGGTGAGCTTTAGCCCTGGGACAGGGAAGGAGAGCGGGCAGGAATTCCTTCCCCTTGGCAGTGGCAGGTGACTTGGTGGTGGTAAAATACTCCCAGCCCATAGCAGCCCCTCCCAGGGGGCACTGGGCAGTCTCTGGTGAAATGTTTGGGCATTTGCATCTACTTCTTAAAGGCTAAAGGTGGATCTGGGGCTGGGAGTGATCGTGGAGATGTAGGAGAGGAGAAGGGGAGTGTCTGCCATGAGGCTGCAGAAGGACTTTGTTAGACATACACAATCTTTTCCTCACTCCAAGGCTAAGATAAGGGTGCCAGCCCCTCAAGAACTGCCAAGAAGCATCATCTATAGCTCTGCCATTTTTTTTTCTGCTTCAGTCTCCCAGCTCTGCGAGAGGCAATCCCTGTTTTAACCCACATTTAAAGCAAGGTATGGCTTGATGTCCACATGCTGCTCCTGCACACAAGGCCAACTTCAGAGAGCCTGGACTGGCTGAGCTCATGGGATCCTGCCCTCCAAAGGTGCCCTAGAAATCAGGGCAGCTTCAGGGTGGAACTGCAGAGCAGGCAGATGTTAACAGGGTGACTGAAGAGGCTTGTGGAAATCTCATCAGCAAATGACCTGGTGGGGACCCCGTGATGGTGTCAGTGCTTTGGGGCACAGCAGCTCCCAGTTACTGGAATTCCAGGAGAAAATTAATCTCCCTGTTTGACTGGGCATAGAAATTGACTGAGATATAAAACGTGTGTTTGGGGCTGGACATCTGTGTTTTCCTGACAGCTGCATTTACCTTCAGCCCAGAGTTCAGCTTCTCAAAGGTCATTTTCCTGAGCAAAGGCTGAAATGTCAGGCCACGTCAAACCTGGGCAGCTCATTACATATCTTCAGTGTGGTAAGATAAGCTCTGTGCTCAGGGAGGGGTTTAGCACACAAAGCCCTCAGCATCCAGCTGTGGGATTTGTGTGCAGGGCAGAATTTATCCCCAGGATAGTGTACAAGAATTATTAGATATGAAATACATGTCATTCTTTTGGAGAAATTCAGCCAGGACAAGAATCAGGGAGATTCATTCCCTTCTGTCCAGTTTGCAACCATGGAAATGGTTTGTAAACCTCTGCTCACCTTTCTGGGTTTGTAAGTGACCGGAACCTCATTTGAAGAATCCTCAGCTTGAATTTTGGGCCAATGACAGATCCCGTGGAAAATGTCAAGGAAATTTGTTTTACCTTCTCAAAATCCTGGTTGAATCCAATTAGCAAAGTGATTTGGTTGTACTGCTGAAAGGCTGCAGCTTCTCTAAAGATAAATCAGACAAGGTGTCAGAGAGTCCCCAAGGGAACAGCACTGTTTTAAAATAGATTCAGGACAATATTAGAAACAGTGCTGGGGGGGGGAGGAGTGAAGGTGTGACGAGTTTCTGATTTCCAGGGAACAGGTAGGGATGCAGGTCTCCAGCTGTGAACCTGCTCAGCCACTTTTGCACCTGTGGTGGGGCTGGAGGGACAGAGCTGTTTGGTCCCAAACCAGAATCTTCACCAGAATCCTGCTTGGAACCTGAGCAGACCAGCCCCAGGTGGTGTTGGTACCTCTGACTGTGCAGGGCTGAGCACCAAGTCACCTGTGGGGTTTGCAGGGAATGGTGCTGTCCATAAAAACCTGGCTGTCACAACATTGTATGGCTGAGGTAGCTCTACAGGTGGCAGACTGGATCTTGGGGGTATGAATGCCTGTAGCTCAATTTCTGGTAGATCTCTTCTGGCAAATGCAGCAGCAGTCTCTGTTAAGCAGTGCAGAGTTAATGGAAAGTAACCCAGCTCCAAACAGAGCACAGGGTTAGAGATGTGAAGCCTGGCAGGGCCTTGACCTCAGTCCTCTTGGAGGAAATGGCCAGTTCCACCCTGAGATACCCATGAGGACTGCCTGGGCTATGGTGCAAGAGCAGCAGAGCTGCTCCCAGGTACACCTTCCTTGTGCTGCTGGGTCTGCAGCCACAGTGTCAGGTTTCCCTCAGGGAGGTGAGTAGCACAGGTGGGAGTAGAAGTGTATCCCTGTTGCAGCATCCCCAAATGACTGTCCTGGTTGAGAAGCCTGAGGAAGCCTGACAAGTGGGATGAGCCTGGAGGTGCTGGGGAGGTGTGTGGGCAAGGCTGCTGCCTGGGGAGCTGGGGGGTCCTGGTGTGCAGCCCCAGGGAGCTGTGCAGATTGCTGCAGTGCAGGCAGGTAGGGCTGAGAGAGCTGGTTGAGCAGGACTTGTTTGGCTGAGGTGTGAGGAGGTCAATCAAGGATTTGCATGTTCACGTAAACACCAGTCATTAATTTGCCTCTCCAAGTGGAATAAGTTGACTGGGATGTTACTTCTTCAGGCCTAGGTTCATCCCAGCTCTCTTGGGCATCCCGAGCTGTAACAGAACATTCCCAGGAAAGGGAAGGGAAGAGAGGGAGACGTGTTTTCCCTCCTGCTTTTGTGGGAGCCCAGGACAGCTGTGCTGCTGGCTGAGGGTGCTCAGTTCAGTCTTTCAGGGACTGAGAAGGACACCAACCAGAGGACTGGGCTGAGGGAGAGTCACCTGGGGCCAGGGAAGCCCAAAGGCACAGACACTGGCAAGGACCAGCAGAGAAAGGAGAGGAGGATTTCTTGCCTCCTGCCCATCCAGTTGTACCAAGTGCTACCAAGCTAACAGTTCCAGACCATCAGACTGGTAAGACTTACGGATGAACTTTGGATTCTGCCTTCTTCCCAGTTTCATCAGCCAGTACAATGCTGAAGGTGCCTCTTCTGGTGTATTTGTTCCATGTAATGATATCCACAAAGTAGTGATAAACTGTGGGGAGAGAGAAAGTGAGAGCAGTTAGGCTGCTGTGTGCCCCCCTGGGAGCTGATCTGCAGGTGGAGGAACATCTTCCTCCCAGCTGCTCATCTGACACAACCTGTTCAATTCAACTCCAAAAAGTCTTTCTCCTTCCTGCTTGCCATCTTCCCTTGCAGAGATTTCTGATGGAGGTATTCCCAGATGTCTGGGAAAGCACTGGGGCAAGGCTCACAGCAGAAGCATGCAGGGTGGGCTCTGCACAGCTTTCAGCACAGCCCCTGTCACCTCTCCTCTCTCACTGCCTTCTCCTTCTCCTGCCTGCCCCTGCTCTGCTCAGCTCTGCTTCTCAGCATCTTTCCTTTGCCTTCTCTGTCACAGCAAAATCACCTGCTCTTTGATCTGTAAGTCACCACTGGAGCTCAGGCTGTAATCACAGAATCCCAGACTGGTTTGGGTTGGAAGGGACCTTGAAGATCATCCAGATCCAACCCCCTGCATGGGCAGGGACACCTCCCACCAGCCCAGGCTGCTCCAAGCCCCATCCAACCTGCCCTTCAACACTGCCAGGGATGGGGCAGCCACAGCTTCCCTGGGCAACCTGGGCCAGGCTCTCACCACCCTCACACTCCACAATTCCCTCCTCATGTCTCACCTCAATCTCCCTCTCCCAGTTTTCATCCATCCCCCCTTGTCCTCTCCCTCCCTGCCCTTGTCCCAAGCCCCTCCCCAGCTTTCCTGGAGCCCCTTCAGGCACTGGAAGGTGCTCTAAGGTCTCCCTGGAGCCTTCTCTTCTCCAGGCTGAACACCCCAACTCTCCCAGCCTGGCTCCAGAGCAGAGCTGCTCCAGCCCTCCCATCATCTCTGTGGCTCCTCTGGACTCTCTCCAGGAGCTCCATCTCCTTCTTGTGTTAGGGACTTCAGAACAGGGCACAGTTCTGGGGTCTCATGAGAGCAGAGTAGAGGGGGAGAATCCCCTCCCTGGCCCTGCTGGCCACACTACTGGTGGTGCAACCCAGGACATGGCTGGTTTGTGGGCTGCAGATGTTGGTGATTTTGAGGCTGAAACCTTTTCTCACCAGTTCCACCTTCCTCGAGCCCTTTCCTTGGGCCTGTCACTTTTGTCCAGGGTTGTTTTTTGTACCTGTTTGCCTCAGAGCACAGTCCTTGACTCTCATCATTCCCACATACCCCTCATTCTACAAGAGTGGGGTCTTGTTTTGAAGCAGTTTAGGAACTGCCCTTCTGTGCTTCCCTGGAACATTCTCCACACCTTTCCTAGCACTGTGAGCAGGCTGAGCCTGTTCCTGCACATCTCCAGGGAGCAGTTGGCCTTCCCAGCACCAGGCCTGCAGGTCCAGAGTGTCATGGCAAGGCTGCAGACACAAGCCCATCCAGCAGCCCCTGCCTTTGCTCCTGAAATGCTGGCTGTGCTACTGGTAGCAACTGTGAGCTGGGTGGAGGAGGCATCTGTTGCTGGAGGAGACAGGGCACAGAGAAAAGTCCTCCCAGCCCTCTCAGTCACTTACCACAAAATGGCTCTTTGTCCGTGGTGTCAAAAAACATACTTGTCCCTGGGTGGCTCTGCTGTGTTAAGTAGCTTTTCCACTCGTGGGCGTAATAACCTGTGGGTGGCAGTTCAGAGGCAAAGAGAGGGTCAGTGCACAGGCAGAGAAGCACCTAAACTGCTGAAAATAAAGCAAAGATTTAAGAAGTAACATATTGCTTTCCAGCTCCAGGTGTTACTGCAGCACATGCCCCTTTTGCTCCAAACCAAGGCTTCATTTTACCCGTGAAACTGCACTGGGTGCCTGCATGTGCCTGTTCAGCACCTCACTTGAGCATCAGTCTGTTCCCACGTTGGGTATCCATGGTCAAAGGAGGGTTTCATTTTGCAGAGCAGAATGAAAATCACCCCCTGAGCTTTGCAAGTTCATTTCTGGAAGTGTGAAAGCAATGTGCCCTGGTGGCCAAGAGGCCAATGGCATCTGGGGTGGGTTAGAAAGGGGGTGGTCAAGAGGTTCTGCTCCCCCTCTGTTCTGCCTTGGTGAGGCCACATCTGGAGTGTTGTGTCCAGTTCTGGGCCCCTCAGTTCCAGAAGGACAGGGAACTGCTGGAAAGAGCCCAAGACAGAGCCACAGAGATGCTGGAGGGAGGGGAACATCTCCCTGCTGAGGAAAGGCTGAGGGAGCTGGGGCTGTTGGGCTTGGAGAAGAGGAGACTGAGGGGCCACCTCATCCATGGGCACAAATCTGTTCAGGGCAGTGTCAGGAGGGCAGAGCCAGGCTTTGTGCAGTGATGTCCAGTGACAGGACAAGGGGCACTGGGTGCAAACTGGAGCCCAGGAGGTTCCATGTGAGTATCAGGAAGAACTTCTTTGCTGTGAGAGTGACACAGCCCTGGGCCAGGCTGCCCAGAGAGGCTGTGGAGTCTCCTTCTCTGGAGACATTCAAACCCCCCTGGCCACGTTCCTGTGTGATGTGCTCTGGGTG